CGCGGCCAGGCCGGCGGCGGCCTGCGAGGGAAGTTTCCTGCCGGCCTGGGTGAGCGGCGTGCCCCGCGAGCGGCTGCGCGACTTCCAGCACCACAAGCGCGTGGGCAACTACCTCATCGGCAGCAGGAAGCTGGGCGAGGGCTCCTTCGCCAAGGTGCGCGAGGGGCTGCACGTGCTGACCGGAGAGAAGGTGAGCCGCCCGGGGCGCGGGTCCCTGGCCCCGGGCTTGGGGAATCGAGGCAGGAGGGCTGCGCGGACCCTGCAGAGAGCACTGCGCCGGGAGTCCCGCTGCGTAGTCCCGGCCCGGCGCCTCCCACGCCGCCTGCTTTTCTTCTTGGGTTGAAGGAGGGGTCGAGCCAAACGCCTGTGCGGGCCGTCGCAGCCGGGGTACCGGCCTTTCCCCAGGGGTGCTCTGGGGTCAGTTTCCCCTTGGGGGGTCTGGTTTACCCGCGAAGTCGCCCGCAGCCCTTTGGCTCTCGGAAGGGCGCCGCCTGGCGGACACCAGCGCAGGGGGTGGGGGGGCTTGGCTCTCCGGGCTAGTACCGAAGGAAGATGAGCAGAGTAGCAGCAACCCGGGCAGGAGTGCGTGGGCCCCTATGTTAAGGATGGGGGACAGGGACACTCCTCTCTAGCTGTGGCCTGGGGCAGCTACGGAAGTTTGTAATGCTCGCAGGAGAGTTTTCATCTCGCCCTCTTCTCTCTCCCTACGCCTCTCCATTCTTCCCTGGGTGGAAGCTGCAGCAAGGACCCTGCTCTGGCAGGTACAGACTACACACTGATACTCCAGACTTCAGAGGTTGGGAGATGCCTTCTTATATTTCTGGAAGAGGGGAAAGCCAAAGAAGACACCCGGGGCCCCCTCAGCCCAGGCCCAGAGGGGCACTGTCTCCAGCCTTGGGAGAAGTTAGAAGTTAGTTGTGAACCTTTGCCAGGCCCGGCCCAGGTACATCTAAGTTGTAACTCAGATCTGTGCGAAGAAACCCAAGATATGATGACTTACTTTTGGGGTGAGTGGCCCGGGCACTGGGTCACCCCAAGCGGTGAGGCTGAACCAGCCTGGGAGTTACCTCAAGGTTGGAGCCACTTCGGCCCCAAGCTCATGGTCATCTCAGACTCTAGGCTTCCCCCAGGCTGGGGATCGCTCAGCATTGGCTGGGACGTAGCCCCTTTTCCCCTGTTCGTGGCCCGTTGCCCAGGGAGACATCGGGGGGTATGGGAGGGGCAGGGATGCTTCCTGCTTCCTACCGTCCCTTCCGCCTGCTGACCTGGGGTTCTCTGCCCAGCCCGAACTCCCGGGATTACCTTGCTGTGGGACCTGGGACTCCTGTCCCCAGTGTCGCCTGGCTTCGGTTTCCCTCCCGCGTTCCCCACTGTGTCTTGGAGCACCTTGCATTTGACTGCAGGTCTCCATCACCCTTGTTATTTGTCCTTGGTCCCTACGGAAGCTCTGTGTGGGACGCCCCTTTGTTTTGGGTATGTGGGGTTTGAGTAGCTTAAAAAGTGCCCTTTGCTTGAATTTCTATGCAAAAAAGGGAGTGTTCAGGCTGAACTCACTGGATTGAATAACACTTCAAAGAAGACAAAAACAGCCCAAAAAACTCCAGACCTCATTTTAGTCCAGAGAGAGTCCGCGTATTTTAACCGGTTGGTTCTCAGCAGGCCGGCGACTTCCACATCCCGTCAGGGCGCAGCTTCCTAATTACGGCGCGCTCCCTTCTCCGTCCCTGTTTAATTCATGTTGGCACGGGTGGTAGCGCTTTATTTTCATTCCAAACATATAGGACTCAGTCTGGTTGTGTATGTTTCCTCTTGAAACTTAGCAAAGAGAGACGAGGCTTTATGCTGACAGCATAATGGCCAACATTACAAGCACGTTTATCTCGCCTGCCCTGCCGCTAGGCGTCTACTGGCTTCTCTCCACTTTCCCGTTCTGGTCGGTGTCGTGACTCCCGCCCCGCCGTGCATTTTTGCTTCATAACATCAGGCTATTAGCTTTGGCCGAACTGAGCGAGGTCGCACTCAAAGCTCAGTAAGCGTCGCGTTCCCCTCCCCCACCCCACCCTCATCCCCTCTTGGTTTCTGGAGCTCTGTGCTAGGCCCACAGGGCACACTGGAATGTGGGAGCTCCTGCCCAAATGGGGTCCAAATGCAGAACTCCCCTGCTCCCCTACCTGCTCATGCCTTCTCTCACCTTACCTTTTTCAAATAATGAATCTCACTTCCTCTTAGCAAGGGAAGAATGGTTAATTGGGGTTAAATTACTGTGATGGACTAGTTGGTTGGATCTGGTTAAGGACAGTCGTTCTTAGGGTGGAGGAGGTCGGAGGAGGTCGGAGGAGGTTTTTCTGATGTTCTCTTCTCCAGCCTCCAGCATCATGAGAAATCTGGATTTCAGTTCCCTAATTGCCAGCTTTAAAGAAACAATGGGCGTCATTCATTGCTTTTATCTCCCAAATCCAGCACCTTTAGTGCTTAACTAATAGAATTGGGTTTTGGCAGATGGAGAGATTAAAGAGTGTGTGTGTGTGTGTGTGTGTGTGTGCGCGCGCGTGTGTGTGTGTGTGTGTGTGTGTGTGTGTGTGTGTGTCTGCCTGGGAAAGATTGCTGAGCTCCTGAGTCCCCATCCCCACTCATGTTCTGGATATTTTCTTACTAAGGCCAAAACAAAGGTGAAGTCAGCCTCACGCTACTTGCTTGCAGCCTTGTGATCTCTTGAAAAGGTGAGCTATTAAGAGGGTTTTCCCTGGAGAAGAGATACTCATGTGAGCTAAGCCAGGGGAGACTTCGAGGTGACAGAACCTCGAGGAAGGGAAACGAAGCATCCCCCACCGGGAGCCATGCGAGTGGCCCAGGAAGGCCCCTCCCCCAGACACCTTCTGCATAAAGCACTTCGCTTTTCTCCTTTTTAAAAAGACACAGACCACAGCGGGAGGGGAGTTAAGTCATGAGCACTGTAGGAAGAAATAGATTTATGCCTTTGTGCCACCCCAAGTGGAAGGATCCAGGGCAGCAAGTGGTGGGGAATCAGTTCTTGAAAAAGCTGGAAGAAGGAATGGAAAAAGGGAACAAAGTGGGGTACCCACATTTGGTCTGATTCCCAGTTGCAGTCTCAAACTATGCACTTTGTTTTGGGTAATTTATGCCAAAAAATTCAGAGTACTGCTGGTGCGTGCGTGCGTGTGTGCGTGTTGCCTTTTAACTTGGTGCATATTTCCAAAAAGATTTGGGTGAAATCCTCCATGGCTTGCTGGGAATTACTGTCTGAGTCCAGATGACAAACAACCACTTTTTCTGACTTTCATTTCAGGCTTCGGTCTTATCTTATCAAGAGGCTTCTTTTCCCACCACAGCCTACATGACAGTATTTTGCCTGCCTTTCCTCTGAAGTTGTTTGTTTGAAAGTCATTTGAATCTAGATGGCCCTTTTACTGCTCAACTTTGGGCGAGACCTAATTTTGTCCTCTTTAGCTCTCAGTTGAAGCAGTCTCTGTGAATATGGCTTTAAAAATAAATAAGCCACTTGGCCATGTGACACTCTTAATTGGTACCTTCTCAGTCAGGGCTGACTGTCTTTGATGAAACCTAACTTGATGACTGGAGGAGGAAAAATGATCAGAAAATCAGATTTTGAGAACTATTCTCTGTGGCTTTCAGACAAAGAGCAAAGTTGCTGAGCAGAAGTAACCAGTGATGATGACTGCAAGACCCATAGAGATTGTGCTTGCTGTCCCTGACATTGACCTCTGAAATGCATCGTCTCTAGCTCATCAGTACATTAAAAAAAATTGATAAAAATATAGTTGAAAGGCTCATGGAGAAAAGCATAGGTATATCTAAGGTCTAGAGCTGGTTTCCTAGGCTGCAAAAAGGGGAAAGGAGTTGATGCCACAGTCACCTTCTTCAATGATTAAGTCTAAGATACAAAGTTGGGTACATATCATGATTGGTTAAGATGTTTAAATAGCACGTTCTAACCTTTGGTTAAAAAAATAAGCCTGTTTATTACTTTCATTGGAGCTATTTTTGGGCTAAAAATAAAAATTGCCTGCTTAGTAAGTTGCCAATAATTATGCCTTGAGCACGATTGCCAGATACCTGGAGTGAAGGAGTTACTAAAAATACAACTTACTATGTTTTGCAGAGCAGGAAATATGACTAATTTTAAAGGTGGCCTTTTGGCAGATCTGTTTTTAGCAAGTATTTCTGAAACAAACAGGTGCTAAATCCTGGGGTTTTTTTTGTTTTTTTTTTTTTTTAAGTGCTAGAAATTCAGGGGTAATAGCTCTGAGGAACAAGAAATGCTTAGAGAACTGGAAACTCCTATTAATCCTCAGCAGGGATTTCTTGGCAAAAAGGAGGCGTTTGGCCCAAGCACCTGCTCAGTGTGTCGTGTGTGACAAGGCAGTACCTATAATTTCCGAGATTGCATGCTTCAGTGTTGGGTGCAGTCTTTTTGAACTTTTTGCCTTGCCTCATCTTTTTGAAGTACTTGCGCACGATGGAAATTGGCACGTAGGGCTCTGCTGTTAGTGTTCATTGATATCCAGGCTCCACGGACTTCAAAGGGTGCTTTGAGTCGGCACAACAGGGCTGAATGGTACCCATGGAGAGGAGTACAACCTGAAATTTTCTCTGCAGGTGTTGAGTCACCAGCACAGGCGGAGTTCGGGAACAGTGTTCTGCACGCTGCTGGCTGTTCTAAGTGCAGCGTGGAAGTCCTCCTCCCCCACGGTCATCCTCCCAGCAGGTGTGGAGAGTGGCAGCTGTGCCTGCCCGAGGAGATGGGCAGGCTGGGCGTCCTCTGTGGGAAGGTGGCTTGGGCATGAAGTGTCATTTACCTTAAGGTAGACACTCTGTCTTGATTGTTCATGGTAACTGAGCGACTTGCTTTCTTAGCTAATTGAAACCCATAGATCATCCCTGAGCCTTATTTTAGCAAACTGGTGAAAACCCTTCGTCTGGACACTTTCAAGTGCGGACCTGAACTGAATTTCACATTCTCTGCTGGGGTCCTGCTGGCTGGCTGGTAAGATGACCAGTGGAAAAAGATGAACCATAGGGGCTGAGTACTCCCCGAGTAGGCTGATAATGATACCTTTACAAGGTAGAGAGAGCTGTTGTTGCTCCTGTATTGTAAATACCAGCTCAGTGGTGTCGTGTTTTGTGGTTTATTCAAGGTCCTCCATGCAT